TGATTCAATTTTTCAATTTTGTCCAATTGAAAAACATACTTAAAGATAAACTCAAAGGAAGCATTCTAACCTAACTAATTAACCTCCAAGTCCTAACCTAACTAATCCTGGTCCTAATATATACTAAACTTAAACATATATAGGCAATTTTAACTCTATTACAACCTATTGTGAGCTAATCTAAGCAACCTAATATCAATTTAAGTAATCCTAGGAATAAAACAAGCATTCAAAGGCGCAAAATGAACATTCCTAGCAAATTGCAAGGATACGTAAGCCTAATGCAAGATATATTAGGGTAAAGCAGAGTTTCTTCAGAGTAATGTTGCTAGCAAGTGATGTGTGGCAGGCGAGGTGTTGGGGGTCCACACCTTGCATGAGAGAGAGAGAGAGAGAGAGAGAGAGAGAGAGAGAGAGAGAGAGAGAGAGAGAGAGAGAGAGAGAGAGAGAGAGAGAGAGAGAGAGACAGAGAGAGAGAGAGACAGAGAGAGAGAGAGAGACAGAGAGAGAGACAGAGAGAGACAGAGAGAGAGACAGAGACAGAGAGAGAGAGAGACAAAGAGAGAGAGAGAGACAGAGAGAGAGAGACAAAGAGAGAGAGACAGAGAGAGAGACAGAGAGAGACAGAGAGAGACAAAGAGAGAGAGAGAGACAGAGAGAGAGAGAGACAAAGAGAGAGAGAGAGAGACAGAGAGAGAGAGAGAGAGAGAGAGAGAGAGAGAGAGAGAGAGAGAGAGAGAGAGAGAGAGAGAGAGAGAGAGAGAGAGAGAGAGAGAGAGAGAGAGAGAGAGAGAGAGAGAGAGAGAGAGAGAGTTAGAGAGAGAGAGAGAGAGACAGAGAGAGAGAGAGACAAAGAGAGAGAGAGACAGAGAGAGAGAGAGAGAGAGAGAGAGAGAGAGAGAGAGAGAGAGAGAGAGAGAGAGAGAGAGAGAGAGAGAGAGAGAGAGAGAGAGAGAGAGAGAGAGAGAGAGAGAGAGAGAGAGAGAGAGAGAGAGAGAGAGAGAGAGAGAGAGAGAGAGCGAGAGAGAGAGAGAGCGAGAGAGAGCGAGAGAGAGAGAGAGAGAGAGAGAGAGACAGAGAGAGACAGGCCGAAAGAGACCAGGACACTGACGGATACATCCTCTAGTAAAGTATATTAGACAGGCTTGACGCCTATGTGACAGACGACGGCAACACTGCGTCAGATCCCGTCACATCACAGCCTAACGTGAGAAAATCAGCAGGAGCCATGAGAAGGATTCGAACCCGCTCACTTTGTACTTCCACGCACACGGCCTATAGACCACTACACCACGACATGCTCAAAAAAGCATCTGACCATGTTGCAATGGTCAGTTGCAACTGATTAGGCTTCAATTGTAAGCCTCAGAATCCCTAAAGAATTAAGTGGATTCCCAAATTGCATTCCCCCTTTGAGCACATCATGGTGGTGCAGTGGTCTAGGGCGCGTGCCATAAAAGTCGAGGATCTGAGTTCCTCGTGAACTTTCATAGCTGTTACGGACCACTAAGTCCAGTCTTATTATGTTACAGTTTCTAGAAAAAGTATTGTTTAAAATTAAGAACATTTTAAGCAGATAAATGTTGTATTCCCTCTTTACTTAGGTAGTTTATAGAGGCTCTTGAGTGAGTGTGTAGAGCGGGTGAGGCTACAGAGCAGCGCGGGACCCCCACAGTGCACCCGACACGACCCCCACCATGGGGGCGGGGAGGGGGGGGAGGAAGAAGCCTTTGTGAAGCCTGATCCACCCCCCCCCCCAACACACACACACTCCCCCCCCCCACCTCACACACACCTCCCACACCTCCCCCTCCCACATACCTCCCACACTCAGCATCTCCTCCACACTCTCCCCCGCTCCATCTCCCACATCAGCCAGTGAACAAAGGTTCATATTTTATTACTGTGATTTGCATATTGCATTAAGAGGAGCGGCCCAGGTTAAGAGGAGAGGTAAGAGGACAGGCCCAGGGTAATAGGGCAAGGCCAAGGTAAGAGGAGAGGTAAGAGGAGACGTAAGAGGACAGGTCCAGGGTAAGAGGGCAAGGCCAATTTAAGAGGAGAGGTAAGAGGAGACGTAAGAGGACAGGCCCAGGGTAAGAGGGCAAGGCCAAGGTAAGAGGAGAGGTAAGAGGACAGGGCCAAGGTGTGAGGACAGGGCCAAGGTAAGAGGAGAGGTAAGAGGACAGGGCCAAGGTGTGAGGACAGGGCCAAGGTAAGAGGAGAGGTAAGAGGACAGGGCCAAGGTAGGAGGACAGGGCCAAGGTAAGAGGACAAGACCAGGGTAAGAGGGCAAGGCCAAGGTAAGAGGAGAGGTAAGAGGAGACTAAGGCAGGCACGTGCCTACCCATGGGGGTCACACATCCCAAGAATAGCGCATTAATTACCTTATGTTCCTTGTGCTTCTAATTGTTCTCCGGATATTTCTAACGAGGCGATTCGTAGAGTAATTAAATTAGCAACTAGTTAAAAATCCGTCCCGTTATTACTCCTCTCCCTCCTCTCTCTCTCTCTTATTCCTCATTCTCTCCTCCTCTCTCTCTCTCTTATTCCTCATTCTCTCCTACTCACTTTTTTGTATTAAAAGTAAGACTAGGGTTCATAAGGGCTATCAAATGACGTACTTAATGAAACTGCAAGCAAGAGATGTTATCCTGCCTCAGCTCATCTGAAGCCTGCTCTTTCTTTCCCTCTCTCTCTCTACTATCTCTCTCTCCCACTCTCTCTCTTCCACTCTCGTTCTCATTCTCTCTCTCATCCTCTCGCCCTCCCTCTCTCCCTGATTGTCTCTCTCAGTACTCTTGTCAAGGCCTCGGGCTGGGCGGGGATATGGTGCCAAGGGCCCGGTGTGGTACAGAGGCTTAAGGGGCCCAGTGACGGTGGGGCCGCACACTTCCTCACCACTCAACTTTTCCTTAATAATATCTTCATGGTAAATGTTCCAACTCTTCCTAACGGATCAACATCATACCATGAACAGAAAAAAATTTAAAATAAAAATAAAAATATCACAATTTCAAATTAGCTATTATATATTAAAATGTCACCTATTGTTATTTTATTCATTAAGGTCTGAGAATGGCCTCAAATCAAAATATTGTTTTTGAGTATAGTTTACTGTAAAACATTTTTTCAATGTGGCCATCCAAATCTGTGCAAAGGTTAGACGCAAAATATGTATAACTCCAAAGGTCTAAGCTTTATGTCTAAAGGCAGGTGAGGACACCTTAGAGATATTGTGGATATATATAATATATAAAAAGCATAGATAAAGCATATATAAAGCTTTGCATATAATATATAAAGGTGATAAGAATCAGCCAGAAACTGAATTTTTGAATGTGTCTCAAAGTTGAAATTCCTCTTTTAGAGATAATTGAAGTTAAAGTTATCGACAATGACTATGGTAGTTCTAATTAATGAATTGTCTTGTGTGTTTTAATAAACATTGTGTGGCATTTGTCCTCGAATATGTGAAAGTTGTAGGTCAATATGTGTTGAAATGAAGTCAAGAAAAAATAATCCCCTAAGAAAACCAAATATAGGGATAGGTTAGGGATAACACATTATATATATATATATATATATATATATATATATATATATATATATATATATATATATATATATATATATATATATACTGAAAACTCACACCCCAGAAGTGACTCGAACCCATACTCCCACAACTGGTATGTACAGGGACGCCTTAATCCGCTTGACCATCACGACCGGACATAAGGAAGTGATAGCCGAGGCTATATGAACCACTTCCCCGCCGGCACTCGGATGGTAATCTTGGGCATAGCATTTTATCAAATCACCTCATTCTTTGGGGCACACGTGAGGAACACAAATGCAAACAAGCCTGAAACATTTGTGTTCCTCACGTGTGCCCCAAAGAATGAGGTGATTTGATAAAATGCTATGCCCAAGATTACCTTCCGAGTGCCGGCGGGGAAGTGGTTCATATAGCCTCGGCTATCACTTCCTTATGTCCGGTCGTGATGGTCAAGCGGATTAAGGCGTCCCTGTACATACCAGTTGTGGGAGTATGGGTTCGAGTCACTTCTGGGGTGTGAGTTTTCAGTTGTATATAGTCCTGGGGACCATTCAGGCTTGTTTGCATATATATATATATATATATATATATATATATATATATATATATATATATATATATATATATTATATATATATATATATATATTGCAGTAACCTTATTACCCATATATATAAGTGTTAAGGTCCTCATTCAGCAAAAAACACACCTAAAAAGACAGAGAATAGAGAGTGAACGCAGTAAATAAATCGGCCAATAAAACAATAAAAGTCACAACTTCGGCCACCTGTGGCTGATTAACATGTTGACCAATTCCGTTCAAACTTCACACGCTTAGTGCCGGATATATAGTCTCCAAGATGTAGAAGTCACAACAAAATTCGCAAAGAAACATAGGAGAGATAATGAAAAAACGGTGGTTGTCAGTTTTTTGTACTAGGGCACATAAGAAATATTGCCATTGGGCAATGTATTTATATGATATATAATAAAATGCAGCATAATAACTTACTAATTCATTATTATGTGTGGAATCTGGCCCTCCAGGTGGCACCAGTGGCATATCTAGCTTCTAGACCCTCCTTACTACTACTTGTCTTCTATGTGTGTCAGACAGGAGCTTGTATCTCTTTATCCCTGACTGGCAGTAAATAGGAAGTCTTATTTGTATTATTAGTAAAGCTTGTCGCCCGTCACTCACGCATTTATCAAAAAAAATCGTAAAAAATCCATTTCTTAACATATTGGGATGAAATTTTCACGACGTTGATACCAAATAACGGAAGATTTGCATAAAATTTGTCACTATATTTCATATTTGTAAAATACTACTGAGTGCAGACGAGGAGTCACAATAACGTGGCTGAAATATGTTACAAACTAGAAAGTGAAGGAACGACGACGTTTCGGTCCGTCCTGGACCATTCTCTGACTACTGCTACTCAGTCACCGGACCCTTTAAGGACAGTGGGTGATGGCAGCGGTGATGGGGGGATGGCAGCGACGGTGATGGGGGGGATGGCAGCGACGGTGATGGGGGGATGGCGGCGACGGTGATGGGGGGATGGCAGCGACGGTGATGGAGGGGATGGCAGCGACGGTGATGGGGGGATGGCAGCGACGGTGATGGGGGGATGGCAGCGACGGTGATGGGGGGATAGCGGCGACGGTGATGGGGGGATGGCAGCGACGGTGATGGAGGGGATGGCAGCGACGGTGATGGGGGGATGGCAGCGACGGTGATGGGGGGATGGCGGCGACGGTGATGGGGGGATGGAAGCGACGGTGATGGGGGGATGGCAGCGACGGTGATGGGGGGATGACAGCGACGGTGATGGTGGGGATGGCAGCGACGGTGATGGGGGGGATGGCAGCGACGGTGATGGGGGGGATGGCAGCGACGGTGATGGGGGGGATGGCAGCGACGATGATGGGGGGATGGCAGCGACGGTGATGGGGAGATGGCAGCGACGGTGATGGAGGGGATGGCAGCGACGGTGATGGGGGGGATGGCAGCGACGGTGATGGGGGAGATGGCAGCGACGGTGATGGAGGGGATGGCAGCGACGGTGATGGGGGAGATGGCAGCGACGGTGATGGAGGGGATGGCAGCGACGATGATGGGGGGGATGGCAGCGACGGTGATGGGGGAGATGGCAGCGACGGTGATGGAGGGGATGGCAGCGACGGTGATGGGGGAGATGGCAGCGACGATGATGGGGGGATGGCAGCGACGATGATGGGGGGATTGCAGCGACGGTGATGGGGATGGCAGCGACGGTAATGGGGGATGGCAGCGACGGTGATGGGGGAGATGGCAGCGACGGTGATGGGGGATGGCAGCGACGGTGATGGGGATGGCAGCGACGGTGATGGGGGATGGCAGCGACGGTGATGGGGGAGATGGCAGCGACGGTGATGGGGGATGGCAGCGACGGTGATGGGGGATGGCAGCGACGGTGATGGGGGATGGCAGCGACGGTGATGGGGGGATGGCAGCGACGGTGATGGAGGGGATGGCAGCGACGGTGATGGAGGGGATGGCAGCGACGGTGATGGGGGAGATGGCAGCGACGGTGATGGGGGGATGGCAGCGACGGTGATGGGGGGGATGGCAGCGACGGTGATGGAGGGGATGGCAGCGACGGTGATGGAGGGGATGGCAGCGACGGTGATGGGGGGGATGGCAGCGACGGTGATGGGGGGGGATGGCAGCGACGGTGATGGCGGGGATGGCAGCGACGGTGATGGGGGGGATGGCAGCGACGGTGATGGGGGGGATGGCAGCGACGGTGATGGGGGGGATGACAGCGACGGTGATGGGGGAGATGGCAGCGACGGTGATGGGGGGGATGGCAGCGACGGTGATGGGGGTCAAGGGGGTGTGAGAGGTGTGTACAGAGCCGCCGGCAACAATGCCACTCCTGGGAACTCCTGCCACCTTACTGCCTCTCAAGTAGCAAGAGTGAGAGAGAGAGAGAGACGCTGTGTCAACACTCAGTCGCTCTAGTCTTGCAACCCGCTCTCCGGCGCCGGTATTCACGCCGTCCTCTTTCCTGTGAACCGCTGGCGATTGAACCGGTTCATACGGTCTCACGTCGCCAGTTCGAAACCCCCCGTCGTATGACAGAACAGGTTGGGCAACTCTCTACCCAACCGGAGGCTAAACATAGCCCGTGCTTCTTGTCCCGCTCATGTGCCAGGTAAGTTACGGGCTCACCATAGCCCGTGCTACTTGGAACTTGCTCCAAGTAGCCCATCGACACGGAGTTGATGGCTACAACTGAGGAAGGAGCCGGTCGGTCGAGCGGACAGCACGCTGGACTTGTGATCCTGTGGTCCTGGGTTCGATCCCAGGCGCCGGCGAGAAACAATGGGCAGAGTTTCTTTCACCCCATGCCCCTGTTACCTAGCAGTAAAATAGGTACCTGGGTGTTAGTCAGCTGTCACGGGCTGCTTCCTGCGGGTGGAGGCCTGGTTGAGGACCGGGCCGCGGGGACACTAAAAGCCCCGAAATCATCTCAAGATAACCTCAAGATAACCTCAAGATAACCTCAAGATAACCTCAAGATAACCTCAAGATAGGGTACACCTGTGGAGCAGTACCAGGCAGTTTGATTATGTGGGTCAATAATTGTTTTACCAGTTCGGTTGTGGGAGGCCGGATAGTACTTAAAGTTCGGATGTAAGAGGCCGGATGGTGCCTAAAGTTCGGTTATGAGAGGCCGGATGGTGCCTAAAGTTCGGTTATGAGAGGCCGGATGGTGCCTAAAGTTCGGTTATGAGAGGCCGGATGGTGCCTAAAGTTCGGTTATGAGAGGCCGGATGGTGGCCTAAAGTTCGGTTATGAGAGGCCGAGAGATCACAACCTACAAAATCCTCAGGGGTATTGACCGGGTAAACAAGGGTAAACTATTCAACACTGGCGGGACGGGGGGACACAGGTGGAAACTGAGCACCCACATGAGCCACAGAGACGTTAGAAGGAACTTTTCAGTGTCGGAGTAGTTAATAAGTGGAATGCACTAGGCAGTGATGTGGTGGAGGCTGACTCCATACACAGTTTTAAATGTAGATATGATAGAGCCCAGTAGGCTCAGGAACTTGTACACCTGTTGATTGACAGTTGTGAGGGGGGGCCAAAGAGCCAGAGCTCAACCCCCGCCAGCACAACTAGGTGAGTACACACTCAGGGACACACACTCAGGGACACACACACTCAGGGACACACACTCAGGGACACACACACTCAGGGACACACACTCAGGGACACACACACTCAGGGACACACACACTCAGGGACACACACTCAGGAAGGCCCAAGGGGCTACCCATCCCGGGAGGCCTTAACAAGGAGACAAACAATAGGTTTGACTCTTGTGATTGTTTGGTCAGTGTTTGATCCCCATCGACCTCTGGGACCCCTCCTCTCCCAGCCCCCCCTCTCCCCCTCTCTCTCTCTCTCTCTCTCTCTCTCTCTCTCTCTCTCTCTCTTCCATGGCTACTTTCCCCTCCTCCTTCCTCTTACCCACACCCACACAACCAACCATCACCGCCGCCCTCTTCATCAGTGTCCTTCACACTGATGGCAGCCCACACACACCTCCCACCACACAAACCTATCCTCCAAACCTGCCAGGGCAGTTTACATATGTGTGTTCCACCTACCATGTTGTATACTAGAAGGGAAACTCTCTGTAAGGTCTCCTGGGTAACCTCTTCCCACAATAAGACTCTTTCAACAAACATGATTTTGTTTTTAATTTTATCTTTTATAGTTTTCAATCCATTGTTTTGAGCGCAATCCTGACATGACTTTTTTGATGCCGGTAAATATTTGTAGCCTCGAGACGGGTAATGGGTGACCTTGGGACGGGTAATGGGTGACCTTGGGACGGGTAATGGGTGACCTTGGGACGGGTAATGGGTGACCTTGGGACGGGTAATGGGTGACCTTGGGACGGGTAATGGATGACCTTGGGACGGGTAATGGGTGACCTTGGGACGGGTAATGAATGACCTTGGGACGGGTAATGGGTGACCTTGGGACGGGTAATGGGTGACCTTGGGACGGGGTAATGGGTGACCTTGGGACGGGTATAATGGGTGACCTTGGGACGGGTAATGGGTGACCTGGGGACGGGTATAATGGGTGACCTTGGGACGGGTATAATGGGTGACCTTGGGACGGGTATAATGGGTGACCTTGGGACGGGTAATGGGTGACCTGGGGACGGGTATAATGGGTGACTTTGGGACGGGTAATGGGTGACCTGGGGACGGGTAATGGGTGACCTGGGGACGGTTAATGGGTAACCTTGGGACGGGTAATGGATGACCAACACTCTTATTGTACTTAAGAACTCTAGGACTCTAAGTCTACTTACAAATTTCAAGTCTATATAAGTCTACTTACACATTTTAAGTCTGTGTTATAAGTCTCATTTCATAATTATATAATGCTAAGAAGTCTAAACTGAATTTCCCGCGTTAATTATTTTCCCCCCTGTCAGGTGTTTGCATTCCTCCAAACACCTAAATGTTTCCTTCATCACGTGACTTTCAAAAATGAAAACATTTCATCAAAATGTTTTCATTTTTACTTTCAAACACTTGGTGCTGGCGGGCGAGAAGCCTCGCCAGAATATAAATGGTGACGCTCAATGTCTGGCCTCGGCTCACTTAGGCAACTCTTACTACCATTCTTACTAAGTTTAATTACTTGAGATGATCCTGGGTGTGGTGGGGTCCTGGATGGTTGGTGGAGTGTTGGATGGTTGCCAGAGTGGGTGTGGTGGGGTGTAGGATGGTTGGTAGAGTGGGTGTGGTGGAGTGTTGGATGGTTGGTAGAGTGGGTGTGGTGGAGTGTTGGATGGTTGCCGGAGTATGTCATTGTTTTGATGAAACGCCCTGAGAGAGAGAGAGAGAGAGAGAGAGAGAGAGAGAGAGAGAGAGAGAGAGAGAGAGAGAGAGAGAGAGAGAGAGAGAGAGAGAGAGAGAGAGAGAGAAATTTCCCATCTATATATATAATAAAATTACGTCTCATTTAAAACAACGTTATTGGACAGGACTATTCCAACTTTCAGGAACAGAGAATAATTAACTGCGAGAGTTTATTAGTCGAGACCCCTTGGTAATATATGTAAGCCACATTGTTATGCCAAGCCATACAGGGAAACAGAATCACAGACAGACGGAAAGAAAGAGGAACAGAGACAGAGAGAAATAACGTGTGATGACGAGAGGGAAACTAAAGATGGCGGGAAGAATTACATGTGACATGGCTTGTGGCCGTCTTGAGAATGTTCCCGCTTGAGTGAGCACTTGTTGTGATCCAGCTTGAAGACGCACTTGTTCCAGCTTGAGAGCCCGTTGTACCAGCCTGAAGAACTAATTGTCCCAGCCTGAGCGAGCACAACAGTTGGAGACAAGTGGAATATCCACCTCATATTAAACGTCTCCTCATTCACACAAAGAACAGCTCCCCCCCCCCCCCCCCCCGCCAAGGAGTGCGGTTATCGTGAGGTTATCTTGAGGTTATCTTGAGATGATTTCGGGGCTTTAGTGTCCCCGCAGCCCGGTCCTCGACCAGGCCTCCACCCCCAGGAAGCAGCCCGTGACAGCTGACTAACACCCAGGTACCTATTTTTACTGCTAGGTAGCAGGGGCATAGGGATGAAACCAAGCATGTATGATAATGTATTAGAAACTGGAGTAATGCTGATGAAATTAAGAACAATTAACAAACGATTTGTGTAAGATCATTAGTACACAGTTATCTCATTAGTAGTGATGCCTCCTGGAACTCTGGTGTATTGGTCAATACTTGTGCAGAGTCCTCTTATGTCTGGGAACACAATTATTGCCAATGGTTAATGTAATTATCACACTGATGTGTGTTCTTTGTGTAATAATAATAATGATAATATTTTTCATTCACCTGGGCTCTAGGAGACTCGAACCATGGACCCCAGGCGTGTGAGGTAGAGGTTCTATCAACTCAGCTATGAGCAGTCTTAATAAGGCAAGGTTCCAGATATGGAGTGGATAGAGCTTCTGCCTCACACGGGTGGAGTCCAGGGTTCGAGTCTCCTACAGCCCAGGTGAATGGTAGGTTTATTACCTCGGAAGTGTGGGTGACAAATAATAATAATAATAATAATAATATAACAAATCCACAGGAGATTCGAACCCTCATCAAGGCTCCTAAGATCTGTTCTCTCATATATCATGTAAATGTGATACCTGTGTAATAATAATAATAATGTCATTGTGTCAGGGGACAGACAGCCAGTATATATGTACATGTTAGGCTTATAAGCAGCCCCTCAAAAGATCAAATTACTGACCTTCCCCAGGATGCAACCCACAACAGGCTGACTAGCCCAGGGGTACTTATTTACTGCTAGGTGAACAAGGGCATCAGGCGCACACTTCGATCCCGCGAGGTATTCGAACCCTGAAGTCCCAATTGTGAGTCGAGAACGAAGCCAGTTGTACTACCGAGACCCTAAATAATATGGTAGTAAATTATTCTCAACCGACTTTCAAGTACAGGTGAGCGTCAAGGAGACTGGTTTAGTAGAATCAGATTCCGCTCTTGGGATGCAATCCCATTATGAACCACTCTGAATTGGGAGGAATTAGGTTTGCTGGAGAGGAATTATAATGGCAGGGATGGTGGTGTGGGAGGTGGTGCGTGGAGTGGGCTTTGTTGGCTTAACTTGAACATAAAGTGAACTCACTGAACCTGTGAGGTGTTGTGCACAAGGTACAAAATACTGGTCTACCTCCCAGAGTATAGTGGGAGTGTGACCCGAAGTGATTGACAGCATCAGCGGACTATAGTTATCTTTTGGCATACTAATTATATTTGCGACTCATGCCAGGTGAGGAGGCTGGCCTGGAGCTTGAGGAGAGGCGCCCTCACCTGTCGTCAGACACCTGGCAAGAGAGGAGGAGCAGGAGCGACAGACTCCACCACCACCAGCAAGAGGAAGGTAGAGTCGAGGTGGTAGCCACAACTGTCTACTAGTAACCTCTTGGACAGCAGACA